TTGGAAGTTGATGCGCTTTAAGTCTTTTCCACATGACGCAATCGGCTACTTAAGCATCTTTCAAAAATCAAATAATAATAAAAGAATCAAACTATCAGTAGGAGAATAATAGCTTCCAGCTGTCCCAGACAGAAGGCTTCTGTCTGAAGATACCCTGGTGGTCTGAAGGATACAAGACTATGACTTCTGCCATCAGCCTTGCTATCATTAACAGAGTCACTGCTTCAGATGATGCTGGTGCTGACTCTGTCTTCTTTAATTCACTCAATCATTTCATTTGGAAAAGAAAAAGCAAATGTCATTTGCAATAACCTAATTATTTGCCACAAATGAAGGATGCCAGCCCCAGCTGCATTGAGAGGTTGGACCAGAATCACTCCCTGGGACCTGATCACAAATCACTCGCCCAATTTGGTCCTCTTTGCCGTGAATTCTCTATCAACCTTGCAGAAACCATCATATGAAATAAAGGTGAGCTTAAGAAGGATGTGGGGTCTGCAACCCACCCCTCTCCCCTCCAAGCTATCTCAGATTGGAGGAAAAGGCATAAGAGGAGCGTCAATGCAGCACCAGTCCTCTGGGCATGAGGATGCTGAAGGACACGGTGATTTAAATGGGGCCTCCACTCGCTTCTGAGGTCTAGGAACAAGGCAGCCTTTTGCCTTAAATCTCTATTTGGAGGAAGGACAAATACCAAGTGCTGCATGGAAATTAAAAATTAAAGCCTGTAAAGTTGTTCTTTCTGCCAGCTCAAAGCCTGGAGCCAGATCCTTGGAGCCACGTGAGGCTGGAGTACAAGTCACCTCACCGTCTTGCCTCAGCGCTTTTCAGATCCCATCCTAGCCCCATTAAATCAGCTTTTTGACATGAAACACTATTAAAAGAAAGGCTGAATCAGAGCAAACTGAACCCCTGGGTGAGCACTTCAGGACCTGCTTCTTTTAAGCAGCCTGTTTGATTCAAGGAAGGCCAGCAAGAGGCTTTACTATCCAGGTGATCTCTCCTGTCCACTTTCTTTGCCTTTACAGCTAAGGTCCCATTCATCAGAAACCTCCTATTTGCAGGAGGTAAAAAAAAATCACTAGTTAACGAGTACCACTAAACCTCAATGACCACTTATGACCACTTACAAGATCTGTAAGCAATCATTAATCTTGGCCAACCTGAATGCACTCTCAGGCTTGAGAGTGGCTGTGGATATATGGACTCTGAACAAGACCAGGGAATACAAACTCCTAGAAATTCCCATGTGGTTTTGGAAAAAAAAAACCCAAAAAAAAGGAAAGAAAGAGATAAACCAACAGCTCTGTTATAGACACTTTAGGATGGATACGTGCATACGGCGACCGATGAAGCCTTCAGGGTACTTGTGAAGTCAATCTTCTCACCAAGCTTAAGCAACTGTTTCAAGGCAGGTTGATCAACCCCTGCTTTCCTGCATGCTGCTTAGACATGACTGCACATAAACCAGCTTCCTCAGTAAACAGAAACCAGCAGGAAAGCAGGCAGCCTGGGTGGTTTTGGTTAGCAATGGCACGGTTTTCACTGCCCGGTGGCTGGTGAAGGCACTTCCAAGACAAGGCAGCTCCACAAGGCCCTGCTGAAGGCTGGTTTCAGCCCCTAGCATGTGCAAACCACCCGTCCCCTTTCTTCTGAGATCAGAGGCGAGTGCTTGGCTCGCTGAAGTGACTTCCTGCGTGATGTCATGCCTCAAACTCGCTTTGAGAAGCAAGCCCCAGGCTATCCTGTGGGTTGGATGCACAACGCAGACTTATCAGCGACCGCATGATCATGAGATGGCTTTGAAAGCAAATTCCTGTCTAATTTAGGGCCACAAATTGCTTATCTGCTGGAAAGCTGTTAGAGTAAAACTCTCTTCTATACGTGTTACCTTCACCCCCTGTATTTACCCCTTCTTGCTCGACAAGTGCAATTTAACCAAAATACCAACATTTATCAAGTGTGATATGACTCTTCAGATCAAAATCATCCACAATGAAAGGTATCAAAATCACTTGCCTACTCTGAAAGTGCAGGCTGGACTTCAGAGATGTCATGAGAGACTTGGTTTGTGCGTTCAGAAGGAAGAGGCACAGATGACATTTGGGGACCCATCACTGATGATGATTAAGAGAAACAAAAATCATGGACTGTGCTTCTAAGGCAGCACACCAGGAGGAACACAGGAGTTAGGACAGCTTCAAAACCACATTTTTCTGCAAATATATCAGTAAAGGGAGTAATCTATATGTCCTGACTCTGCTGGAGTACAGTTGCTGAGGATGATGAAAGAAGACACAGTAGCTGCTGCCTTTGATCCTGGCTTTAAAGCAACTTGGCTGCTCTGCTGGCTTGGGTTAAGCCAAATAAATAGAGCTGACCACAGACTGAACTCCACAGTAAATAAATATATCTTCCTCTCTGCCTGAGACAGGACTTTCCCTGCATTTATTATGGCCCCTCTTTGAGATAATTATAATGTTTTGGGCTATGAAGACACTGGCAGCTCCAGCTCCCACACTAATTCACCTCCAAAGCTGGATCTGCGCAGTCAAGAAAAGCCCCATCCCACCTCACAGATGTTCTTCACGCACCAACACCAGGTTTGAAGTCTTGCCAGAGAAACCGCAAAACCTCTTAACTACATGGAAAGATCTCCACAGGGACAAAGTTTCATGTTATATCATGTTTAGGGAAACCTGTGCAACCACAAGTGCTAGAAACAGTGAATGTCACCTTTGAAGACAGCAACCTTCCTTGCTTCAAATGTTACCATGTACCTACTATTGTCGTAATTCAGCAGATTAGAGCTGTAGAGGCTCTAGCATTAGGAGAAAAAAAAGGAGAGGTGGGAAAGACTGGTGTGAAGACAACCAGGGGTTGTATCACCTTCCCAAGACAGGGTGAGATTGCTTGCACAAGCTGAATTTGTGCCCAAACTTGAGAAGCAGCACAAATTCATTAATTCAATCCAACATTTTTATGGAAATCACATCCTCTCTGACCACTGGAAATAAGCCAACTTGTAATGATATGAGAACATTCAGTTCTCCTTCAGCAGGGTGCTACCACCACTCTCAAAGGGAAGAAACTCAGGGCCAGCAGGATATTCTAGTCTTGATGGCACTCAGAAGGCACGTGGTGAAAAAACCCAAATAATAAAAGCCACTTTTGTTCCCCTAGGATAAAAAGCAACACCACGTGTCTAATTCCTGTCTTGGCCATCTGGCATTAAAGCCAGTGAAAAATGAGGTTTAATAACATATTTGGAGGGTATTTTAATTTGTAAGGAAGGGAAGCCCACTGAGACACAAGGACTATTACAGGGGATTTGGTGGACATGTTTCAGGAGGCATTCTCAAACTCCTCTTGATTTGTTCTGGACTTCTCATGAAACTCAAGAGCAGCCGTGAAGTTACACCTCGATGTCTGCAGCTCCAAGCAGTCATTTTAGGAGCTGAGGACAGTGATCATCTTTTTCTCCAGCACACACACATGTGCTCAGAGGGAAGCAGAGATGCACTGTACCCCTTTAGAAGTGGTATTTGGATAATCAGACTTTCTGTGATCTGCAGAGGGATAGCACAAGAGTAGCTGGAGAAAAGAAGGAGGTTCCATGCCCAGATATCCCTTTTAAATGAAGATACTGTGCTACACAAGCAATTGAATTATGAAATGGGTTTGGAAAACATTTTGCAGAAGAGGTATAGATCAAAGTGCAGACCTGAGTGACTCTCAAGCAAAAAGGTCTCATTAAGTAGTTGCTTGAATGCCCAGAACCTTGAAGGAAGGATTAAAAAATAAAACTGTACATAAATCCAGTAAAAATCAACCCTTTTTGAAGTTGACATGCTGCTTCCCCTTCAAAACAAGCAAACATTTGACCAGGTACTATCTCAACTTCCCAGGTCCTACACACTCAGTGGCCACCATCATACTGCTTACATGCAGTTTTGCACCCAAACACATCATCGGGCTTTTTGTGCCAGAAAAATCCTTGTTAGACTTTTATTTCCTTGATATTGGCATATTCATTAATATTTTTTGCAAGCTTCTTTCCACCTTGTACACCACCTATAATTGCTGCCTTTTGATGCAGGAAAGTTGCTTTCCCTGCCTGCCATTTAGATATGATCCCATAGCAGAGAAAGAATGAAAACAAGACAAAATTAATAAGCTGGGAGAAACATGAATACAGTCATGTATAACAACAGACAGTGCTTTCCCATCCCAGATTTTCTTGTTGTGCCAATGTAAAAGCAAGAGACTTACCGCTGGGTCCTCTCGTTGATGGTGTTGACTCCCTGGAGGTCTGAGAGTGGTGTCCGTGGGCTTTTCCGAGTAATACCTAAAGCAGCACATGAGAAAAGATGTTTCTAACTGGCTCTTCACCCAAAGGCAGTTAGCACAGACGTAGTTTAGCACTGATTACAGTGAAGAGGAGCATGTACATGTCATGGCACATGCTGGGCATACAAGGGTGCCAAGGATGCCGACATACCCATCATCTACTAAGTTCTACCTCTCTGCCACAGTCATTACCCTTATGAGTAATGCTGTTTGCTCAAGCCCAGTAATTCCCCTCCCACACCTGCACGTTGTGTTAGGGACATAATGTCCCAGCTAGTAAGGAAATGCAGTGAAGGAAGAGGTTGCTGTGATGGTGGGGACCAGCCATTCATGTCCTGTATGTCCAAAATATTCCCAAGCTCTCCACTGTGCATGGGACATCCCAGAACATAAGTAGGGTGCTTGGAAAACTGGCCATTTATTCCTTGAATACTATTTCTCTTCCTGTAGATATATGGACAGGGACACAGCAAGTACTATATACTGCATGGGGAGGCTTTATTGCCCATTGAACCTATATCCTTTGATAGGGGTAGTTCTACAGTAATTTCTATTTGATATAAAGCCAAGGAAGTTTTCATGCATGGTTAAAGAAGCAGACATTTCAAGCTATTATCTTCCCCAAAGTGGAAATGTTTTGTAACCAAGCATTTAGGAAGACAGAAGACAATTTTTGTAGACAACAAAATGCTTTTCAAGTCACTAAACTACAGACATCTAAAGACTCGATAAGCTTGAATTTGACATGAAAACAGCCAAGCAGTGTTCTAACAGTGTTTAAATCACTGCTGTGAGACAGCAGAAAAATATGGTAGCATTCACCTGAGCATGGGAACAATGTGTATTCCCTTCCCCAAGCTGGCTGCAGTGGACAAAAAAATTGCAAAACTCTTCTCTAAAAAGAAAGTCTAAACTGTAAGTTGTAGCAGAATATGAAGAAGCAATAGCATATCACCTCCATGTTTATCACTTCCCTATTTAATGTAGCCCAGATGTTGAGCTAAAAGGTGTCCTAAAATTCTTTTTTTTCTGAAGATGGATGCAACACACACACACAGATAGCTGAGCCTGTGCTGCTCATCTGCTGTTCCTCAGAGCCTGAAGAAGATGGATTCCTACCAAACCTCAACAGGTGACATCCCTTTAACGGGACATCTCCTGTCCTCCTTTACCTGTGGAGATACTATAACACCTTGTCTTGAAGCCTGAACATTGGGCAGGAGATGCCTGGAAAGGCTGATGGTTCTCTTGGTTAAGTTGTCCAAACATCCTAGAAATCTGAGCAAAAGAAGTTTCAGGAATGCGACGCCACAGGTCATCTTTGATCCTGCCTGTACAGGACCAAACCACTCCTGCTGAGAAGGTTTTGCAATCTCCAGCTCTGGAAGCTTTTGGAAAGCAAGCCAGGTAATCTATCCGAGTGCCTAGCTACCCCTGGAGATCAAAACTCTCTCTTTAATCCCTCTTTTTGCCATGAATGAGATTTTTCTTCCATTTCTCATCCTAGGAGCATTCTTTCACTTCTTTCAAGACTGTTGAAAGACTGCAACTTTCCTGCATTTCTGTGCTCAGTTGTAAGCAGAGTGGGGAATGAGAATGATATGAAATCTGCTTAAAATACTGTGTTTGTATTTTTTGTGGCTGGTTTTACACTAAGAAAGCACCCAATGTCTAGCTGTATCTATTTTTTTTATGTAGTATGTATGCCTGGATACTTCCCCATTAAGGCGCAGAAGGTTTCTCTAACCTAAAGTATTTAATCAAAATGGGCTTTTAATAGGATTTCTAAGACTTTTTTAGTCCATGTCCTTCTTTTTTGAGCAAACTCTGTCCTACTTCACTTCTCTGCGCTCCCCACCAAAAAAATCCCTGAAAGAAAAAGCCCAAAACACTGTCTTAACTCAACAAGTTGGGCTGAAGCTACGAAGACAAGGTTGTAACAAAACATTACTGCATCTGCACCTTGCATTGCTTGGGAAAAGGGAATTTCTAGTTCAGGCTTCCAGATAACAGCTGCATTAAACCCACATCATAATTCTGCCAGTTTAGCACCTTTAGTGACTTTTTGATTAATAGAAGTTATGGCCACAAGCTGGGTTAAAGACTTCTCTACATTGTGCATCACTTGGCTCTTAAAACCAGCACGCAAACATGCTGCAGCCAAAGAAAGGTTGTTAGATTGATGTCACCTCTTTTCTGGGAAATAAAGTGGGGGGTTTTTTAGATATGAAAGGCAAAAAGGTTTTAGATTTAAGCTGACAAGTCACACAAGGCTTTGGGAACTCTATACAGTGAATACAAGCTATTAAATTGTGTACATGAATACACTGCATGCAAGGAGCAGTGGTGTGAGTGGAAACCACTTGTTCCCTTGCCCAGCTGGGATGCAGGCTGATCTATTTGACATTTCAGGAATTAAGCAAGTCTGATTTTTCAAGCACAACCCCTTTTCTTCAGCTGTAGCGTTTCAGAAAGTCAGACTATTCTGCCTACGTGTCTTTGCCCTCACTGAGATGAGCTTTGGATAATCCCTGCTTATGAATGTCAACCAGCAGAGCTTTGGTCTTGAACTCAGAGATGTCTAAACCCAGTGCCTTGTTCTGGTGGAAGAACATCAATTAACTGATAGACCCAAAGACACCAGTTAAGCAGTTCAGATGGTAAGGGAAGGGTGGTCACTTGGCTGCACAAGCTAAATAGCAAGTGACCTAGAGGGAATCTCAATATTCTCATCAAATCAATTAGTTTTCTCTCTGTGCACAGTTAGAACTAATTTTGTCAGCAGGTTGAAGGAGATGATCCTGCCCCTCTACTCTGCTCTTGCAGTACTGTGTACAGTTCTGGTGTCCTCACATAAGAACATGTTGCTGTTGGAGCAAGTCCGGAGGAGGCCACCAGGATGATCAGAGGCTGGAGCACCTCCAATATGAAGACAGGCTGAGAACATTGGGGCTGTTCAGCCTGGAGAAGAGAAGCTGCGTGGAGACCTCAGAGTAGCTTCCAGTATCTGAAGGATGCTGGAGAGGGACTCTTCATCAGGGACTGTAGTGATAGGACAAGGGGTGATGGGTTTAAACCTAAACAGATGAATGTAAGGATAAGAAAGAAGTTCTTCCCTGTGAGGGCGGTGAGGTGTTGGCACCCAGAGAAGCTGTGGCTGCTGCAACCCTGGCAGTGTTCAAGGCCAGGTTGGACACAGGGGCTTGGGCGATATGGTCTCATGTGAGGTGTGGCAGGGGGTTGGAACTGGATGATCTTAAGGTCCTTTCCAACCCAAACCATTCTATGATTCTAATCGCACAATTCCAGATCTATTTCGTCCCTCTCACAAGGATGCCATGGATGTAACCTCACCCAACTTCTATGAAAAACCAAGTCCCTGGGGCCAACTGCAAAGTGTGTGACCAAAGTGTGTTGACTAGTGTATAGTAAGTGATGTTTTAAAATGTTAACTCAACACTGAGCTCAACTCACTGCTTCACCTTAAGTTAAAGCTGTTTCTACATGTGTCTTGAGTTGTATGAATTGCCTTCCCACCTAAGCAACAGCAAATGTAACATCCCCCAAACTTCCCATATGGTTGAGCTAACTTACAAATTAAAATTAAACTGATTAATTAATTGCAATTAAAGTAACACCACTGATAATTGTATTTCTTTTCAGTACTTCCTTAGTAGTATCAGTAAGGTCACTTAGCACAAAACCACTTAATAAAATCTAGTGATGAGCTTGTCTTACTGCTTTATATCTCCTTATAGCAATAGTGGGAGCTTGCAGGAAAAAATAATGTAGCCTAAGTTAAGAAGTAAAGTATCTAAATTAAGAATTAAAACACCTCTGTTCCCCCAGTGCTACATGCTGGAGAGAACATGGAGATCGGATATAAGGTTTCTAGCAGGAAAAGCATACTTGTGAAGACTTAACACGCAACTGCTGTACTTACCGTGCACAGCTCTACAGAAAGAACCTGGGTGTCTGGCATTTACACCTAACTTGCACAATGTTGAAGTTATTAACTGGGGCTGAGGATTTGCCCTTGTGCCTTTGCAGACTGCATACAGCAGTGCTCCGATTCTGTAAGCTTTAACGTGCAACATGAAGGAAGAGAATAATGGCAGAAAAATAGTATATATCTAAAGATACAAGCATCAAACGTATATAATACAGTAGTGGAGGCAAGAATGTCCATTTTGTCATGCAGGATGAGTTTATTACATGACAGAAGAGTGAGGAGGAAGAAAAGGAGACCAAGTGCATCTTTACTCAACTAATTCTGGAAAACAACATTGCTGAAGGCTTTAGTTTTTTAAAGTAGAAGCCCTCAGAGACAGTATTTTCACAAGCTGAAGTTATTTAGCTGGTGAAGTCCAATGAAATCTCAATAAAGTCAAATTGCAGCTGTATCAGCCACGGACTTCTGGTGCTGTTCATTCCTAACAGACCTTTGGTGCTTTGAGCTTGTTATCACCCGTGTGATAACAAAAATAAACCACTCCAAAAATACCCCTGGTGTCAGCCTCCTGACTTAATGTCAGTGAATAAACAAGGAAACCACCAACAAAATGATGTGCTATCTCAAGAGATATGGGTTTGGATTTAATCTTGCTCTTCAAACTCTGTCTAATAATTTCCCGATAGGCTCAAAATTGTTATTGTTCAATGCTTGAAGGCTCCTTGGGTGGTTTTTTTCACCCTTTCTAGACTGAATGCACCTGGTTTCCATTTCTTGTGTGAGTGTCGTATCAGAGGGAAGGGCAGGTGATGGAGCCTTACTGTACTTCTCCTCCTTGCATCTCTGCAGGATCTCTAAGCTCCTCTGGTGAACTGGGTGATGGAGAAAGCTAAAACTATCCACACTTTTCAACACCGCACATGGCACTGCATCATCATGCCCTTGGGAAGCAAAATGAAAACAAAACAGAAAATTGAGAGAATAAGCAGAAATCAGGAGAGAGTAAAGAACAAGCTCAAAGGATGCGAGAGCTTGAGGATCATGTGTTTTTTGGTGCTCAACACAATTTAACCTCGGGTTCCTCTGGACACGGAGCCATGGCACAGGAGCGATGGGCTGGACCACATCCTAACCCCGCTTAGAATCCTTTACAGGATACAGAGTATAATCACTTTATAATCACTCTGAGATTATCTGGGCAAAAAATAGATGATTAGATAAATTTTGTTTTTATTAACTGCTTTTTAAAATCCTTTCCATGCTTTGGTCAGGCGTTATCCACAGTTCCCTGTGTGGATGCTCCTGGACACATCCGCACCAAATTCCCATCTTGCACCTCAGTGCCCCACTTTGATCAGACATTGGTAATTAAAAGGAAAAATAGAAATGGTTTGTATTAAACAAGGGTTCCATGTTCCTCAAGGGCAGAGGACACAGAATCTGGAGTTAGGTAGAATGGGTTTGAGGTCAAAAGTTGGAAGAAACCATCACTGTGTGGCCAAGAGGACTTTTGATAGCCCAGCTCTGACCATAGGGTGGAGAGGTTATACAGGTGACAATGTGTGAACAGGTAGCACCTCTCCATCATCGTTTAATCAAGTCACGGGATACATCATGCTCCCATTGAGCCATGATGAGGTCACGGAGGAGAGGAGTTACCTTGTGTCAACACTGAAGAATTTCATACCAATGCATTAAATCATCAGAAAGGACTGACATGAACTTCCCAGAGGAACACTGTCAAGGGACATCTTCTTCACATTAACACCACTTCACGCTGCTCACTGAGATCTCAAAGACCCATTTTTTGGTTGCTATCACCTTTACTTGGCAAATACAGTTTGGCTTTCTTTATTCTTTCAGTGTGTGTGTGGTTTTTTGGTGCCCAGCTTTAGGACTAAACCTTCAGAAGTCAAAAGCATCATTTTTGAGAAGACATTATCATGTAGGGCAGCCACAATAGGCATTAACCCAAAGAGCAACTCTTGTTGGCTGAATGCAAAGGCAGAGCCCAATGAGGGAGGGGCAAAGTCCCAGAACCATGAACCCTTTGTCAGAGAGAGGATTTAGGTTCACATCCAGCAAAAGCAAGATGAGAAAGCTGGGGGTCTCCACAGGCAGGTTTGAACAGCATCAGTTCTTCCAACCTCTTCAAGGCCAGGCTGGACAGAGCCTTGGGCAACATGGTCTTAGTGTGAGGCATCCCTGCCCATGGCAGGGGGGGTGGAACTAGATAATCTTAAGGTCCTTTCCAACCCAAACCATTCTATGATTCCATCAAGTTTTCCCTAACAAAGAATTAGGGGTTTTTTTGGTAATAAATTCATATTGATGATACAGCAAAAAATGTCAATCAGCCAAATTCCTTCCTGAAAACTCTTGATAATGTTCCTTTAATTGAAGTTCACTAACGAAATCTAGTTCAAATGTGTAGTTCCCCTGATAAACTCAACAACAGTAATAATAAAACCAAATTATTGAAGAAGTCCACCCTTCAGCTAACTGCAGCCTTCCAGCTCCTCCGTGTTTCATCCAAGGAGGGTTGGCAGCACTGTAAGAGGTATCTCCTGGGCAGAAGAGAAAGGTACCCAACAAAATCCACAGTGATACTGCTTTGCTGCTCTTCACGTCCAGGTTAACAAGGACAATCATCAGTCACTAAAAGCTGCACTACTGGGATATGAGGAGCACAAAAAAAGGAGAGTCCCCAAAGCCGGCAGAAAGGAATGCTGATTATCCCCACAGAAGCATCCATAGCACTGGCTGTCACTGCTGGCATGGAGAAGATAAGCAAAAGGATGATGCAAAAAGAGAGCAGAGCAAAATTTTGCAGAGCTGCTTTTACATAAGCTGGAGATTTGTCATGAAAATCCCCATTGAGTATTGCAAGTGTGACTTGGGCAGGCCCTCAGACATGGAAAAGCAAGGGAGACCCATTTGGGGTTAACACAGAAGAGTGCAAAGAACCTTAAATAAAACCAAAGCATGCTTCAGATATTTTCCTACTGATTCATTACACCTGCCTGGTGAATGGGAGCAGCAGCAGACAGGACCTCAGACACCAAGAACCAAAGTCTATGCAAATATTAAGTGTGCACCCTTGGCTGAACGTACATGTGTGAAGTTATTTTCTGCTAATCTACCATAACGTTATTGAAAGCCCCATGTCTGTGGGCAGTAACACATTCAAATCAGGATAAGTAAAGCCAGCAAGGCTTGGTAAAAATCCAAACTAAACCTAAACCACAGACTGTCTTTGGTTGTCTATTGAGATGGGGTGATTTTAGTGATTCTTTATTAATTCATCATTATGGTGCCTCTCCAGAGAGGCCAGAGGCAGCCAAATATGAGTGGTCCCAGCTCCATCAGTAGGGCAAGTTTTCCCAATGGATAAGGTGCACCTCAGTATGGGAATTAGATTTAGGTAATCTCCTCCTACTAGTTCTACCTCTATAATGGTGACTTTCTCATGACTTTTTCCCAATTCATGCAGAAGATGCATATAGAAATGTGGAGTATAAATTACCTGAGGATTGTTGGAAAGTTTAAGACAAACCTTATCCCAGCTTTCTGAGGTATTTTGTTCTCTTTTTTTGACTCCAAGCCCAGCAGTTACAAAGCACAAAGCCATTTGAAAGCAGGCTAAAGGCTCCCATATAGATAAAAGAGCAGCACCACGTGCTAGAAAATGTTTAGAAATCCAGCCACTACAGTGTGTTTGTTAGTTCTGGCATGGAAAGAAATGGCAATGCAAGAACCGAGTCTCAGAATTGCCTGAAAACCTCCTGGACTCAATTTTATACCTATATATTGGTATATAGATATAAGCAAGTTATTGTCACAAACTGAAGACTGAAAAGCAGAAAGCTAGCTAGGAGGAGACAAGCATGGCAGGCATGACCGACTGCCAGAGACCCAGAAAGCGAAGCAGGGCTTGAAATTAGCTCTTATGTCCCAACACTGAATATATTTTTACTATCTCCTTGACCAGCTTGCTTCAGTTCAGCTGGGTTCAGCCCAAGATGAAAAGATGATGCTTGGAAAATGCAAATATGAATTTTGGTATCCAACTCGAGTGAAGTTTCTCCCAATGCCAAATATTTTGCCACCTACCTCTTGGTGTTACGGAACCCCACTGTCCATAAATGCTGCCTGGATGTGCTAGATAGACCCAGGTTCATGAGAAACATCTTTGCTCTAACATTGCACCTGGGGGGTTTAAAAGTCTCAAGAGCCAAAAGCTGATTTTTGCCTCCTGCTCTTTGGGATGCTATTATTCACCCCAAACAAGAAAAATATTCTTTCCACTTGTATGGTTCCTATTCTTATGTTCCTTGTCTCAGGCTCTGTGGCTCTCCTTGATGCACACCTCTCCAACTGAAAACTTCATGGTGCAGCTCTGCACTTCATTTTAACTCAGCTGACATTTTCCCTGCTGAGACTCTAATTTCATCATGAATTTCAAGCCCTCTTGTGCCCAGAAATGAATAGTAATAGCTTGTACCCACCTTCCCCAAAGTGGTTTATGCAGAGAAATGGTCTAAAAGCACAGCCAGGTATTGCCTGCCACAGCATGATGATGCACCATCACTTTCCTTTAATTTAATGCCCCCGCGCTCAGCATGAAGTGGTTCTGGATGACTGTGAAGCAATGAATTTTGCTAGACAAGAGACACGCTCTCTTGCAGCTTAAAAGGTGAACAGCTTGAAAACTTATGGAGAAAAATTAGTGCCTTTTTTGGTTCCAGTTCAAGAATTCCTAGCAAAAAGAATTTGGCCTTATTTACTAAATAATTGTTATGCTTCTGTTTGAGTCATTATGGTTTTCCTATGCATGCATCCTACAGAAAGGAAAAGTTAATGCAGCAAAGTGAAATTCTTCCCTTACGATGTGTTCAAACCCAAATGTACATTTCAATGGAACTTTTGCACAGCAAAAATCACCATTTTAATGATTTTTTAATAGATTAATCACTCCTAGTAAGTGAGGCTACTTAAAATACTATATGGCAATACATCGGACCTAAGTTGCTGCTGAAAAGCAGGTGCTAGAATTAGGACATAGACACACGTACCAGTTTTCTTCTCCACGTATCGTTTTCCAGCCTCCCTAAGGGCAACCATGGCCCTGAAGAACGCCCGCAGGATGGCCCAGCGGAAGACAGCCACCGGGTCGATCCCAATCATCCCACAGATGAAGGCATTCTTGCTGCTTCTAAGAAGAGCTACAATGTCCGGGCGCATGTGATCTGTGTTCTTTTCACGGAAATCCTAGGAAAGGACAAAAAGGAGGGGGGAAAAAGAGGAAAATAGACAATTATCTACAAGATACACCAGGTGGATCTGCCAGGATGTCCCTGGGACAGCATGACTGTTGAATTTGCTTCTATCTCTTTTTCTGCCCCTGTATTAGGCATCTGGTTATGTCTAGAAAAGAAATGTTTTATCCCAAAGTACTCTGAAGCATCTCAAAGCTGATGCATATCCTGGGCTGCATCAAAAGAAGTGTGACCAGCAGGTCAAAAGAGGTGATCCTGCCCCTCTGCTCTCGTGAGACTCCACTTGGAGCACTGTGTGCAGTTCTGGTGTCCTCAATATAAGAAGGACACGGAGCTGTTGGAGCAGGTGCCCCTGCCCATGGAAGGGGAGGGTTGCAACTAGGTGATCTTAAGGTCCCTTCTAACCCAAACCATTCTATGCTTGTATGATTCCATGCTTGTCACATGCATTTATCGCATCAGAAATGCAATTACAGCTTTGCAGTTGTAAATCCTGAGGCTGTTTCTCATATAGGCTCAGCTGCCCACCAGAATTGCTTCTGCTATTAACTGGAATGAATAGATAGGGCCAACTTTGAAATCATTTGCATGGGATTTCCAAAAGTCCCTGCAGCAGTATGATGCTGAGCCCTATGGTTGCGTAACCTGTGTTAAAAGATGTTGAATGATGAAAAACATGGGATTTTCTACGCAAACCAAGGCCAGAAAGGCTACCAAATACCCAATCTCAACCCATTACTGGGACATAGCATCAACCTCAGCATGCATCCCTAAATTCTTCCCCAAAATGCCAACACACAGACCCTGCAACATGGAGGAGAACAGGAAGATACAATCCCCATCACCTTCTCATTTCAGCCAAGCTTTTTACCAAACACTTCTCTCCTGACTCTCGTGTCTCTTCTCCAGCCAAGTCCTCTCCAAAGGTGCTCTGTGGAGCCACTGGGGCTCTGCTTCCCCATCACAGTTAGGTGATTAAAATGAAAACAACTGCTGGATGACTGACCTTCACTCCATACTTCACTTTGCCTGCGTAGTGTCTGATGATGAAGGCTGGCTCCATGACTGCTGGAAATTCAATGTAAGAGTTCCCTTCGTGTTGACGTTTAAACTTGTCCAGCAGCGTCTGGTTTGTGGCTTGAGGAAAACTGAGTGTTCAAAAGAAGACAGCCATCAAGCCGACGAAAAAGCTTTTACACTTCTTTTCTTACCACAAATGGGAAAAGAGAGAGATTCTGAGGTGCTATTTCTGTACCTACAGAAGCAAGCACTATTTTGTATGCTGTCATGAGGTTATACAAACACAAGGTGTATCTGGTATCTGGAGAACTCTAAACTGATTTAGTAATGATCTGAAGTCAGCTCTAAAAGCACAAATAGGTGTACATTGTGGTATACCGCATCAGATGCCCATTGCATGGACATTATTGAAGGTAGCTGCATTTATCTGAGACCCTAAGTTTCTCTCACTGGTTTTGAGGCCTGGACTGCTCCGGTATCTACGGCGTATTCACACATCTAGGAAATATTGAGCTGTTTTGCCTACAAATCTCACTTCAGTGTCAAGTGTTACTTGACTGATCTTGCCATAGAATAGAGGAGGAACAGGTTGCCCAGGGAAGCTGTGGCTGCCCCATCCCTGGCAGTGTTCAAGGCCAGGTTGGACACAGGGGCTTGGAGCAACCTGCTCTAGTGGAAGGTGTCCCTGTCCGTGGCAAGGGGTTGGAGCTGGATGAGGTTTAAGGTCCTTTCCAACCCAAACCAGTCTGGGATTCTATGATCTGCTAACTTCTACCAAAACAAGCTGGATGGGTATCACCAAGAATGCAAATCTGAGCTGCATCCGTGATGCCCATGAAACCCTATGGAAGCACAGCCCCTACATGTAAGTGCCCTCAGTTCCCTATAGCTTAATTTTTAAAACTAAATTGATCAATCAACCTTTTATCTCAATAACAGCACCAACACAACCTGCTTTAACTCATGTACTGGGATTCTCCCTTATCTCAGCTCAACTTCGAGCATCTTCATTATTACACCACAAGAGACAGGGAGACAAAAGAGGAGAGAAGCAAAGGAGACATTTTCCCTTCCTTTTAAACAAAAAAATTCTTGAAACACAATTTTTGTTCTTATTTGTTAAGGCTCTTTGCTCTGTTTGCTGATTTGTCACTGTTTGCTTCACAACTTTGGAAACAAAACTAGAGACAAAAGAAAAATCAGCCCAGCAAGCTATGAGCATCTTTATGGGAAGAATCACAATAGGGAAGACTTGAGGATAAACACTTTTTAACTGAAAAGAACCCAATAATCTGCAAACCCAAGAGTTTCCTACTCACTTGCTTTCCTCATCCAGCAGATGGAGCAGGCCCGTTGGCTTCTTACTGATCAGGTTGATGCAACTGGAGTTGTCTATGTAGTCGATGTTGTGCCAGCTAATTCCTTCTGCTCTGTATTCCTCCTAAAAAACCCACAGATATAAGAAGGATATTGGGTGCAAGCAGAAAAAAAAAAAAAAGGAAAGATGTAAAAAATGGTGAAATTGAAAGGATTTTCTGGAAACTGATGCACCATTTGCCAAAATGAACATTTCTTCTGTTAATATGCCACTGATATTTTATTTAATGCAACAGAACATTATAAAGAACAACTTGGATCTGGATGAGCTTTAAGGTCCCACCAAAATAACTCCAAGCCTTGTTCTTTTATAAAGCTCATCTCCTCTGAGACAGATTTGCAACTGGATTACTTTGAGAAGTTGTCTGCAGGGATTATTGTGAAGCATCTGGAAGAAAGTAGAGTTTAAAACTTGTATTTTTTATCATACGCTTTTAGGACTTGTGACTCACTCTACAAACAGCAACACTGGAAATGCACCTTACTCCATGTACTGTCAAAAGTCCTACCGATCCAAGTTGTGCTTTTAGTTCTCTATTGTAAGACATTCTGATGCAGAAGTGAAGAAAAAAGTAAAATATCCTGAGAATTGCACCAATATGATGCACCTTTATAACAACCCTATTAATCTTTATTGCTGTTTCTGCTTTTAGTTTTAATATGAGCAAAGAACTTTCAAAAGAATATATTCTTCCAACTCTCATCCAAAATTAACATGAACTCCACATACATTATTTTGGGAATTAAAGACCCTGAAGTGCTTTGAGACATCTCAAAAGGAAATTTTGGCTAAAACCCTCCAAGATCCTTAATTCAGTATTTAAGATGTCATATACCTTTACACTAATGATATGTATTCTCTGTAGGCATAGGAGTTTTTAATGCCCATAAAGCCCTTAAGGTTCAAAACATAAAACATCCCACTGGAAAAAAAACTCCTGAAAATAAGGAATAACTCCCCATGATGAATTTTATTTTTTATTTTTATATTATTCAATTTTTCTCTTTGGTTCCTGCCAAGCAACCAGGACCCAGCAGGGACGTAGAATGATTCACAAGCCCCATTTCAAATTCATATAGTTAAGACTCATTGCATTTTTAGTGCAAGACAGGAAAAATGCTCCTCTCCAGCAATCAGCCACCTGGAGAAGACTGCATACTTCTCGAGCAAGCATGAGCTTCTCCTGAGTGATTTAGAAGAGAGCTGGTGACACGTGCAGTGGTAATGGGAGTCAGCATCATTTATCAACATCTGTTTCTGTCAGCCGCTTCAGCGGGTGCAGGGTCCATTAGTCCCAGCTTTGCCTGCTCAGGTCTGGTCTTGAGCACCCAGAGAGCAATAAATTTGCTGCGATAGTAAAGAAGAGCCTTATTTTAGTGGTGATGGTGCATGCTACTTGGCTTACCTATTTAGTATCATGACTCTTTCTTGAACTACTTGTATGGGGGCTTTACATTTCTTTTTCACCCAAACTCACCAGTTTTTATCTGCATACATCTAAACTAGTCACATACCATCACTCTGCTCTAGAAGCCCTCTAGACATCCATAGCTCCACACAGGACGTTGGGCAGCTGCACGGAGAACATTGCTGTGAAATTCTTCTGACCACACTAAAAACTTCTACTACTCCTCAGACTGGAGGAAAAGACCTAAACAGCAATGCCAGCTGCTGGGATTTTCTTTAAATATACTCCAGTACGTGACCATACAAGACCTGAGTTCAAGATCTCTACTTCCTTAGGCTCAGTTGAAGATGTCCTTGCTCACTGCAGAGGGGTTGGACTAGATGACCTTTGTGGGTCCCTTCCAACCCAAACTATTCTATGATGCTATGATTTTCAGCTCTGCTTCAGACAGTGCATGACCCAAGGCCAGTCATCAACGTAAGTCCTGGCCTCGGTTTCTTCAGCTTCAGGATTTTGGCTACTTTTACCTCCTATGCTTGTTTTCCCCTGGGCTGGGCCAGAAACACTCACTCCTAGGCTGTGGGGTTGTTCCCCACATCTGTTTGTCCATTGCTCCCTCCCTTCCATCCCCGATGCAACCTCTTACTGTGTTGGCCAAATACAAAGAGGGATTAAACTCCTCAACTAATAACCTTTTCCACAATAACTCAGATACAGGCTCTCTTTCCAAGACAGGCACATTGCAGCAGCAGAAATTATTCCAGATCAATTGCTCCAAAGCTTAAATGGAAAGAAAATATTCCCCTTATTTCTTTTTTCCTAGCATTTTTCCAGTTATTGGTTTGTTTCCCTTCAGAATCACAGCCCAGGAGAAATAACTACAGGTTTGTGACTGAGGGATAGAATTCCTTAGGTGTTTGCTGGTCTGCAGAACACCATGCAAATTGTCCACATAAAGGCAGAAGCTTTGGAGTAAAATCACTGCTGTCCATATGTATATGTTAAAAACCTCAAGTTTCAGTTATTAATCTTCTATATGATTTGTATATGATTTCTATATTCATCTTCCAACAACTGTCTTTCTGAAGAATTTAGGAGACATCCTTAAAAGCTACTTTCAAAATATTCCTTCACTTCTGAGCATGATGATCAAGTCTCTGCCATCCTTCATGGATCAAGATTCCTTGCAGAGCACTTGAATATTAAGGAATTAGATCCAAACAACATCAGGTTTTCATTTAAGAAACAGACAGCCAAGATGAAGACAATACAAAACACTTCCAGATCATTCAATTGAACAAAAAAAAAAGCCTCAAATTGGAGGTTAATTAAAAATCAGCTTAAATTCATACCTTAATGTAAAATTAAATTATGTTTAGGGGAAAATTCAAATGTCCTACTCTTAAAAGACCATCTTTACATCAAGAACCAAACCACTGACATTACCACTATCTGCAAAAGTTGCTAGTGCAGTAAAGTCCAGAGAGTTCTATTTTTGTCATCCTTACTCCCAACAAAAATGTATGGATTTACTCCTCCCATCCCTAGATAGCTGAAACCTGCTCTACTGGAAGGTGGAGCGATGCAAGTTCACTAGAGAGGAGAGCACTAAGCTCCCAAACTTGGCAGAAGGAATTGAGGTACGACCACAGAAAGAAGATATTCAGGCCTTTTTAGAGTCCAGCAGCTTCATATTTTCCTTTAATTATTGGGTGAGACGCTACTGATTGCTCTCCAGGTGACCTGTAGAGCCACCATGAGTAGATTGATGCTTCCCAACTGTGCATTTAGAAACAATTCTGCTGTCCTGACCATGATGACGTTGGCAGCATGTCAACATTGGCCCCACATGTCACCAAAGGGGCTCGTTCCACCAGCACGAGTATAATCACTCCTCAAAGGCCATAACCCCAGTCAGAGCAGGGCTGTGCTGTTGTGGCTGCTTCAACACACTCGCTGCAGCAGCCAGGTCAGCAAAGCTGTGTCCTGTGCATTTGGCCTCTCTGACTCAGCTGAGGAGAGAAGGGGGTGAGTGACTTCACTTCAACTCTCTTTAGGAGAAAAAACACCCATATATGTGCATATATACACACCTACTGGTGAGGCTGCACCTCAAATCAGCTCTGGGCCCCTCACTCCAAGAGAGACATTGAGGTGCTGGAGCGGGGCCAGAGAAGGGAACGGAGCTGGTGCAGGGCCTGGAGCACAAGTGTGATGGGGAAGGGCTGAGGGACCTGGGGGGTTTAGTGTGGAGAAGGCTCAGGGGGGACCTTATCGCTCTCTGCAAGTGCCTGACAGGAGGATGGAGCCAGGAGGGGGCTGGTCTCTGCTCCCAAGGAACAAGGGATGGGACAAGAGGAAATGGCCTCAAGCTGCCCCAGGGCAGGTTTAGATGGAGCCGAGGAACAATTCCTTCCCCAGAGGGTGCTCAGGCATTGGAACAGGCTGCCCAGGGCAGTGCTGGAGTCACCATCCTTGCAAGTGTTCACACACCATGTAGACGAGGCCTCAGTGCCAGGGGTTAGTGGTGGCCTTGGCAGTGCTGGGAATGGTTGGACTGGATGAGCTCAAAGGTCTTTTCCAGTCTGGTTGATTCTGTGATTCTATACATGTACTTTATTATTGCATTCAATATTTAGAAAGATGTGGCTAAGCAGGGAGGGGGCTCATAAGAAAAGCCAGTATTAGTTTGAGTTATTCTTGTTCAAAAAGGATGCCTTTTAGAGCTTAAAATGCTCAGGCTGATCTGGATAAAACATAATTTGTGATGTTCAAGCATAAAAAAAGAAGAAGATACAAAAAGCAGATCCAGACTTTAAAGCATGTATCCTCAGAATACAAGCACAAGTCTTTACTGAATATCACACAACATTATCTGAGACATACCAGCATGCAAAACTTGGGCTACCAGATTAACAGAACGTGGCAGAATAGCCAATATTTTTATGAAATGAAAGGAACTCTAGGAAGCAGAGAGCTAAGCACTGCTAAAGAGAAACCCTGCCTGCCTACAACCGACCCCAGAGAACAAACATTGCTTATGTTCCACAGAAAAATGAATTTAAGATTAAAATACACTTACTGAGCATCAGGAAAACCTTCCCAACTGGGACACAAGGCTTGATGGAAACACTGCTTCCAGGAAAAGAATTCATCTGTAATTTTATAGCTGAATGTGTGAAGAATCCCAGCCTTGTCTGGGTTGGAAGGAAACTTAAAGCTCATCCAGTTCCAACCCCCTGCCCCGGGCAGGGACACCTTCCACTAGAGCAGGTTGCTCCAAGCCCCTGTGTCCAACCTGGCCTTGAACACTGCCAGGGATGGGGCAGCCACAGCTTCTCTGGGCACCCTGTGCCAGCGCCTCAACATCCTCACTGGGAGGAACTTCTGCCTCAGAGCTCATCTCAATCTCCCCTCTGGCAGGTTAAAGCCATTCCCCTTGGCCTGTCCCTACAGGCCCTTGCCCAAAGCCCCTCTCCAGGTTTCTTGTACAAGAAACAAGTCCCATTATCTTTACAGGCGCATTGGATCAGTTCTGTTATCAGGACTTGATTTCGTGCTACACCAAACACAAACACCCTCTAATCCACAGCAGAATTAAAGGTTTATATATCTTGAGTGGGAGAAAATACCCCCGAGCCCAACAGCATCTGGG